TTCGAAAAATATTGTCCGTCTTTAAATATGTCTTTACGTTGGAACACTGCGTCGATCTCACGCGTCGTGCGGGAGCTACAGCGATCAACTAAAATGCGAGGGAAGCGTTCGGTTGCGCGAGGCCTAACTTTAACGTCGGTTCTCGATCCCGTTCCCCCTCACGTTTCTCAACCATTTCTGGCTAGGCAAGGGAGAAGATGGGATGTGCTGCAGGTAACCATGGTCATTGCGACCAACCTGTTACACGTTTTTCGTTTAAAATCGCTTACCGAGGTCTAAGAGTAGATATATTTATATTTCTATTTATATTTTCGATTCGAAAGAACAATGGAATATCATTACAAAAAAATTATTTTCAACGAAACAAGAAGTGAACGTGTACCTGTTAATTATAATTTAAAGAAACGAGAATATATATTTTCGTTCAAATATGCCGAAATATATATGAAATAACTTTTATTATAAAATGATTAGATAAAAAGATGAATTAAAATTAGATATAAGATATCTTCAATGGAAAATTCAAAAGACCAAAATTAATTTAATAAAATTTGTTTGAAAACAAAACCACTCAATCTAATGTGTTTTTAATCTAATATCTCTCTTATATAGTGTATATAATCTATAGAATCAATGAAATGTCAATCTATGCAAGTAAATATGTGATACATACTACGTATCTATGTGTATCTATATACATGTGCGTTACGAAGGGAATGGAAACATGGAAGATCCTTCTGAACGATCGACTGTTTCGATTGTTAAAAATCTATTTTTGCAATGATTAAATAATTTCAATTTATCGCTAACAATATCGTGAAATTGCAGTTTATAGTCGTAAAATGAATGATTGCTTGTCGTAATTGTATGTATATATCATGTTAAAATATTGATCAATATTGGAAATATTGATAATAAGATTGATAATAAGATTCTATAAAAAATTTAATATTAAATCTTCTTCAATATCTTTAATATATTTTATTCTTAATCGATCGTAATTTTCAAATTTTCTTTTTTTGTTCTTTTGGAATATTGGCAGATAATTTATATCTTTCTTTGGGTTTGTTTTTTTGTTTTTTTTATTTCATTGCGTACGGTATTATTTAACATCGATTGAATAGATAAAAGATTAAGAAGATTTTATGTGATAATTCTCTAGTTAACAATTAATAACAATATTGTACGATATAAAATTGTGACAATTTTATTTTTTTAACAATGACACATTAATCAAAAAAAACAAATTGATAATATTAATAATCGCGAAATATAAAAAAATTTAGGAATAAATAATGATCTATTTTCTTAAATGATTTTTTAATCCTTTAATTATTTTTACATATTCGAATTACAATCAATTAAGTAATAAATATAAATATTGAAAATGTTTATAAGTTATAAATAAATTATTAAATTAGCATTTTCTTTTCCTTTTTTTCTTCAATTCTCAATCAAGTTTTTCTAATAATTTATATTCTAAAGCGGAAATATTTTCGAAAAATTTACTTATATTGAATATATCGGTATATTTATTCTTAAACTTTACTTTAAAATAAAGGAAAGATAGAAAGACGTTTTTAATTATTTAATTCATGTTGTCATTTTTTGCGCGTCATTTTTTTTTTTTTTTTACTTTTTCGAATATGAATGGAAAATAAGATAAGAAAAACGAGAGATACATAAAATATATCTCTTAACTAAATTAAAAAATAATTTGTAAGAAAAAAAAAAATAAAATAAAATTAATATTTTTTATATTAAATATAAAAATGTTTTTCTTAATTCATATTCTAGTTAATATAATAAATATAATAAATTAAAAATTAAACAGGATTTTTCAAATAAAAATAATGTCTATATAAAAAGAAAAAAGAGAATAAAATTACTTGTATTAAATATCTATATTTGAAATTATTAAAATCATAACGTATCATTGTTCCCTTCCGAGAATAGAAACTCGTAGCGTTAAATTAATCGTAACAAAAGTTTAATGACCCGCAAAGTTGAAAAATTCGTCTTAAGTAGGATGCGAGTTAATGTAATAACTCTCGAATTGCCACTGTTTAAATGTCTTCGTAATCACCGTCAAATTGTTTAGTGCAAATTGACAGACGCTGTCCGTTCCTCTAACGTTTATCGGAAAATAGAAGAAAATACTCCATTTTCTTTTAAAAACAGTACGTTGAACTTTATACGTTACTGTTATAATTTTCTTGTAATAATCCAACGATATACATTATAACGAAATAATAACGAAAGATTATATATCTTTATTAAACGTATTTTTATTCTTTCATAATAATAATAATAATAAATCATGGAGGATGAAAGAAGAGATTAAGATTAGTAAAGCTTATCTATAATAAATAAAGTTTATAAAATTCTGTTTCTTTCGTAAATCATTTTTAATTAAGATATTTAACAATTTATTAAAATATGCATATGGTACATATATGGAAAATTTATTCATCGCTAAAGAAGAATGACATCAACCATTCATCGTTTATATTTATTGTAATTTCGAAATTGCGTAAATTTAATAAAATTAAATTGGCAACAAATATCGATATCTTTATTCCTTAACATATTTCTTAAATATTTTCTTAACAATTGACAATTTGGGATGAACTTTTTCATTTTGTAACGTTCATATTGATTCATTTTGATTAATCTTTATTCAGAAACGTTTCAAGTCCTCCATTTAATAACCTTGTTAACCCAATTTAATAACTTAATAAGTGTCTACGAAATACGAAGATACGAGAAGATACGAGAAGGATCCAAGATGAAGAAAGAATTCGCAAAGAATTCGCAGAGAATTGTGCTCATTTTACGCTATTGAAAAATAAATAAATAAATAAAATTACGGAAATAAATTCAAGCGGTTCGTTTAATTCTGTGCGTAAATACGTAACATGACGATTGTTTGCGATACGCGTTTCGACGCATGTTTTCCATCTTGAAACATACAAGAAAGACTTAACGTATATACCTATGTAAATACTTGTATGTATATATCTGATAAATAAGTAGTAATTAAAATGAAACGATATGCGCGTAATAAAATCTGAATGATCGTTCATTGAAATTCTCAAGGATTTTTCATTTATATAAAAAAAGTTACTAGTTGATGTAACTTTATCACAATAATATGTAATTTTTCTGTTCAATGACTCTACTTTTACAATTATCAGCATATACAGCAACGTAAATTAAACTTATAATATAAAAATACAATTAATGTAAAATTAATGCGATGTGTAAAAATGTTATGACTAAAAAATTAAACTAAAAAATTTGTTTAGGCAATTTGTTATTTTTTTTAAATTCATGTATAATATCGTAAAACTTTATATCACGATTATAATTAAAAACGGAAACCTTTTATTCGAAAATTATTAATTTTATTTTTATTTTTAATCTTTAGGTTTCTTCGTTCGTAAGTTCGTTTAGAAATTGATTCTCGGATTTGTGTACAAAAGCGAATGTGATACGTACCGTACTTAGATACTTACTTACATGCTTAGACATGAATCGAAAATGAAAGTGTCGAAATACAAGAATACGAGGCACGATTCCATTATCCCACTTTTATCGACCCCAATTTCTCTCATCTACATCTAGTGTTCACGATCGACTCAAGCGTTTAGTTTTCACTTTCGCTATCGGATGCCATTGTCTTGATCTGATCTAATCGAGATTTCTATTAACCCAATTTATAAATCTCCAATGAGTCTCTCTCTCTCTCTCTCTCTCTCTCTCTCTCTCTCTCTCTCTCTCTCTCTCTCTGTTCTCAAGGGAAATAAAATATCAAGGGATCAAAATGACTTTCGTCTTTCGCATATTTTCATAGTAGTTCATGCATTTCATTTTCATGACAGCTTTCGACCATACCATTTTCAATAATTTTTCGAATCATAATAAAAATAATATTACGTTAAATACGAGATTAATATAAAAAATAATCAAAATTATGAAAAAAATAGTTTTATAGTAATCGAGATAAAGCATATACCATATGCATTTTACATTGTAGATGGAGTTTTTCTTAAAAATTCATTAATTTTATTTTTGATTAAAAATGTTTATTGATAATAATTATAATTATTTATAATTATTTATAGTTTCAAAAAAAAACGAAATAATACGAAGTGATATTATTTTCTTTAAATATTATCGGCGTAAGAAATGTTGATGCTAATTCTTGTTGGCCGAAATTCAATTATCCTTATATTTTGACTTTCTTGTATGTATAAATCTGAAATTCATTTTGAAAAGAAATATAAATCTGCGAAAATTTTATGAATTGTTTCTATAGAAACATTTATATATATAGAATCAATTATACATAAAATTAAATTCTTTAAATTTCTCTATTATTTCTATATCTATAATATACTATAATATACTTCTATATACCATATTCCCAGATACTCCTATGGATATAGATATTTGAAATTAATTTTCAATCGATAATTTTTCCAACTGGCAATAACAATTGTCTGATTATTATAAAAAAAATGTCCCGTTTCTTTATTTTATGAATATAATAATAATTATTAAAAAATGTTTATAAAATATTAGTTATCAGTTACGGAAATATTAGTAATCAAGTTACGGAATAAGATATATAATATTTTCAATGAAATAATTCTATCTATCAATGTCGTAAATAGAATTATGAAATATCCATTTTATTTATAGTTAACAAAAATTAAAAATGTTTGTATTGTTACATCCTCGTAATAAATTTTATTTACCAGATTCCATCATTGGCTTGATGTATACTATTTATCTGAGAAAGATTTTGAACGTTTCTTTTTTTAATGCGTAACAATTGTTTACAATTCGTCATATTCGGAATATTACATGAGAAATAAGATGAATCATTGTAATAATAGCCATAAATTTTATGCGATAAGGGAAAATTATCTGAAAGCAACGATATAAAAGGATTTTGAAAAATTTAACCGAACAGTAAAGAGTAAGAACAAGTGTCGTTGAAGAAGATTTGAAAAGAATTGTAAAAATTTGTAAAAATTTGAAGAAAATGAAAGGTAATTTAATAAAAAATTAAGTATATGTACCAATGTTTTAAATAAATGAAAAATATATAAGCATTTTAAATTAAGTTATTTAAATTCTAAAATGAAAAAATAGAATCCCGAATAAAAAAAATCTTTCGTTTACGATTAAAAAATATTAATCGTATCTTTGTGTTGTTTATTATGAGATATATATATATGTATATATTATTCGATTCATTGATTCATTGATTAATTAACAGGCATTATTACCATTTTGCTCATCTTTTCCATTCACGCTTATACACATGGCGCTCCTTTCGACGAATCGGAATGGGTGTCCGCGATCGGAAAATTAGGAAGGGAACGAAACTCGAAGGAGAGGAATCTATTCGTTTGGATGCGCAATTCTGAGCGGAAAAAAAATGGATCAAACGTGGAATATCTACAATGGCTCGTGAAAAACTGGAAAGATAACGGCGAGAAGAATAGAAAGAAAGATAGGGAGAAATCTTTCGTTTCTTTAAACTTATCACGGTTAAAAAACAAGCCCGATTCTTTCGATAGCAGCTCCGATTCCGAACAAACAAAACTGAAGAGGATTTTATTTGGTAAGAAGAAATGGAATTCCGTGGAGAAAAATTCGAATGAAGAGCAAGAGAAGGAAGAGGAAGAGGAAGAATCTTTGGAAAAAATGTCTGACGAATTAAGTATTCGTAAAAAAAAATATTCCGATGAAAAAGATTCTCGTGAAAGAAATTTTGATAAAAATGATCATCGTGAAAATAATAATTTTTCCGAATCGTGGAATACGATGGATGAAAATGATTCGAGCTCTTCTGAAAGATCAAATAAATATTTTGATTCGAAAGAAAAAAAGAGGAAACGCGATTCAGAGGAATACGATAATCGCAAAAGTTCGAGTTCTGGTTCCAATTCGTGGGAGTTTGATAGCGACGAGGAAAAATTCAATGATTATTTAAAAGATTTGTTAAAGGAAAACAAACATTATAAGGAAATAACCGAAATGTTGAAAAATTACAAAACAGATGTTTATTACGAGAGATTGTACGAATGGAATAAAGTCAAGTATCTGGAATGGAGAAAAAATATAAAATTGAAGAATAAAATATTGGACGAAAAGGAAAATTTAAGTATGGAGATATTAAGGAGAATTTGTAACATATCGACCAACATTAGACGTAAAGAGCAAGAAAATCGATTAAAAGAGTGCGTAGGATTTTACATATTTACGAAGGATGAATTTAATTTTACAACGGATTTATCGTTGGTTCATTTTCAAGATACGAATATTAAAACAGGTAGGTAAAAAGAGATGTTTATTAGATTTTGTTTCATATCTACACAAATATAATCGATCGTTTGATCTCCCGATAGATGATGAAGAATCGCCTCCCAACAAAAGTTCCAATTATGGTCATATACGTACAACCGAAAGAATGAAAAATTCTTCGACAAACGAAGAAAAATCTTTCGACAATGGAAACAGAGGTGAAACTATCGACGGTGAACAAAAAGAAAAAAAAGAACAAGAACAAGAAACAAAGTCTAGTTCGCGAAAAGATGAAATAGATAACGATGAGAAGCCAACAGATCGAAACGTTGATAATTTAACACAATTAACATGGTCTTCACAGATTGGGACAGAAGAAAGAACACAAACAGCGAAAGATGAAAACTTGATAAATTTTGAGAACGACACGAATAGATCGGAAGAATCGAATATAATTCGGAGTACAACTCCTCGTAAATATTTGCAAACTGAATCTTCTGAAGCATCGGAAAATCGATCGACGATTTTCGAAGAAAATTCGAGTTCGAATATTAGAGATAATGATCGAAACAACGATTTGAATAAGAGTACAGTACCGAGCAATAATGGAAATGAGAATGTACGACAATCCGACGATACCGAACCAAATGGATCAGAGAATTTAAATATTAATGAATCCACGATGATTTCGACAAATCAACGAACAATTTCCCGATCAACTTCACGAATCGAAGCTTCTACAATATGGGCAAGAGATGGACTATCTACAATATCGAGTATCAAATTCGAAACAATTGATAATAACGATAATTTTACTACATCCAACGATATTAACTTTACAATTGCAACAAGCAACGATATATATAATAACGAATCGTTCAATGGCGATAATAACGTACAGCCAAATCCTAGTTCCGATAAGTTTAACGCATTAAGAAATGAAGAAACGATAAAAGCATCGAGTAGGATACCAGATACATTATCATTATCACCTGTATATCAAACAGAAAATTCTCAAGTAGCAACTTTAACGATATCTATAGATGCGAATAACGAGCAAACAGCAACTTCTACTTCGCAAACTATAAATTCTAACGATTTTAGAGATAAAGATCAGATGATGGAAACGTGGAGTCAAGAATCGGGAACAAGCTATACCGATAATGTTTCGATTACCGCGAATATTAATGTTGAAATCAATACTGTTCGAACTGAGAATGAAACGAATACTGTCAATTCGAGTGTAGCGAATACTCAAACAGCTTCAAATTCGACGATAGAAAAAGTAAGATCAACTGAAACTTTAAGTCCCGAATCAGAAACAACACTTATCGATGTATCGAGTAATAATGAAAAAGCTGATACGGATAAAGCAAACGATATTTTGGAAAATAAATCAACCACCGATGTTAATGGATGGACAAGTTCAGATAACAGCGAATCACCGATCGCAAGAGGAGACGAAGAAACGACGATAAATTATCAAACTGACGATTCGATTGTGACAAAAAAAGAAGAGGAAGCTGAGGCGTCAAACTGGCAAACGAAAACAATTTTTCGTGGAGACAACAGCAACGAACAAAATGTTAGCGTAATTATAGTCGAATCGAATAAAACTTTGATAGAAGATGATAATTTAATTATTACCGATATTAACGAACAAACAGATTCAATTGTTGAAACGATAAGCGATAATGAATCTACTACGAAAGATGCACAAATAATATTATCTTTCTCCCAAACTCCCAAAAAATTTGATATATTCAAAACGGAACGATCGATCGATGATCAATCTAAAACTATCGATTTTGTTAACGTTATCACGGATAATGGAAACAATGGAATTGATGATAATTCCACCAGTATTGACGAATCAATGATCGAAAGAGAAGAAATAACGACACTTTCTTCGGAAAATTTTATCGCTACCGTAATGGAGATAACGATGACTCAAACAATATCTTCGCAATTACCAGAAATAATTATCGGAACTGGCGACGATATATTTGAAAATAGAAACGATAAGAATATTTCTGAAATCACAACTTTGGAAAATTTACAAACAACATCGTTTCCCATGCAAACTAAAAAATCTAATACTGGTGAAACGAAACGAAGATCGTCCATCCAAACGGAAACAGATTCAACCGCTTTCACAAATAAAATAGAGGAAATAGAAGCATTTTCTTCGAATAGTAAAAATTCTACCGTTACGGAAGCAGAATTGACAACTGTAAAATTATCTTCGAAGTTAGAAAGTGAATTCGTAACTTTAGGAAATATAGAAACAACATCGTCTTTTCTTCAAACGCTTTCGAATAAATCTGAAGCAAACAAACCGATCGAAGCATCGAATACTCGAACTGAAATGATTCTTGTTGATAATAGCACCATTACGTCGATTAATATAAACGATAGAACAAATAAAACGAGCAATAATTTGAAAGATAGTGAAAAATCAACTACTAATATCGATAAAACAGATTCAAATAAATTTAGAACTTTGAAAAATATCAAATCTGATTATTCGTCCAGTGGATATGATAATACTACAAAAGCGAAAGTGCAAGCTGTAAAACTAGAAATAACCGTTTCTGATACCAATGGCACTAAAACGGATAATTTCATAATCATTGATAATAGCAATATTTTGGATCTTTTCAATGTATCAACTGGCAACGTGAAAATAAATTCCAATGTTAAAGAGCCAAATACACCAATAACGGATACTCAAATATATAACACAGTGGTTTCAAAAGCAGTTACATCACCTGAATTAATTATAAATTCAAATCCCGAATCTCCTGTAAATGAAATGCCTATTAAATAGGGATATCGATCCATGTAAAGAAAGTCAATATTGATTAAAATTATAAATTAATACATTACATCGATATGTAAATTGTACATTAATTATTTTTAATGCTTTCTCGCAATGATGAATATATAGTAATTATATAAAAGTATTGTTAATTTACGATTATTAAAAACTATTTTATTATTATTAAGAATAAATAATGGAGAATAAATAAATTAAAATAATTAAAATTAATGTATCTTTCTTATCGCGTAACACAAATCTTACTATCGGTTTAAACTACTTTGTTGTATATCGTTTCGTGAAAAAAATGATGTATTAAAACGATACAATAAACAGCGCAAGATAGAGATATGTTGGTATTATCATAAAGTTAGTTGTTGTGATGATCGTAACGGATCGGTGGCGTAACGAGTGTCCATTGTTCACCAACGCTGATCCGGTGGGTAAGATTCGTGACGGCATGGCAGTCATCCTAAAGCGATCGGTCGGTACGGTGTCCGTGACACGTTCTATATCGGTCAGTGATATCTCGACCTGTCCTCGATCGGGTCAAAGTGCGCATTTACAGCTCTCGAATAAACGCAACCAGTCGTGTCGACAAACTGGAACGACAAACCGCTCTTACTCCTCCACTTCATTCGATCGAATACGTCCGAACTCGATAATAATCGAATAAGTTATTCGCATGCTTGCTGTATCGAGTAAAAGGCACAAGTCCGAAATGTCGCTATTTGAAATCCAATAAAATAATCGATCGATTCTTGTTCGCTCGGTGAATCTTTAACGAGATCTCGTTTTTTGATTTATTTGAACGAATACTATCGATAATTTCATTAGTTAGAGTGTGTTCCGATTAAAGATAAGCAGGTGATCACAAAATTAGTTTTGGTTAACGAGATGTGGCCAGTTTTGTTAACCTTGGCAGTGACAGCTACTCTGGGAGAAGTGGTGAATGTTCATGTGAACAATGTGAGTAACGTTTATGGGAAATGTATCGTTCGACATAAAATATAATCGAATCGATAGATTTTATTAATTGATATTATCTTGTAAGAAAATTCGAAAAAAGTATTTTTTTTATATATTTTTTCTCTTATATATATTTGGAATGCGTATATTACGATTATCTTTTTAAAAAAAATTTTTAAAACAAAATTTAAACTTTTCATATTTAATCTTAATAATAAATAAGAATTATTAATAATCGAAACTGAGTAATATAATAATGTATTTTTGATGTATATTTTATCAGTTCTTTCAATATATTTCATTATTCGTCATCTGATATCAATCAATTAGTTACATTTAAAATATTTTATTGAAATAAAATTTAACGAGTGTATACGTATGTATAACATATATATTGAAATTAGCGTAATAATCTTTCTTAGAAAAGATTTAAAAAAAAGTCGTCAAATTTTCATCAGATTTTCATCATTCGTAGATATTTGCAGATTTAATTGATTAATCGATCGATAACGAAATGATCAAATTTATTACAAAATTTGCAATTTCAGGATACGCAATGGAAACTCGGATTCGAAGTCGATTACGAGAACGATCGTTTTCTATTGGATGGAAAACCTTTTCGATACGTTTCCGGCAGTTTTCACTATTTTCGAACTCCTAGACAATATTGGAGAGATCGTTTCAAAAAAATTAGAGCGGCCGGATTAAATGCCGTTTCAACGTAAGTTATTTTTCTCACGTTTTCAACAAAACTTTCAACGATTCAACGATTCGTTCGATTGTTTCCTGTTTTTGAAAAGAACAAATCATAATAAATCACATTATATATTTCTTTTTAAAAATCGCTAAAAATTAAAATTCGCTTAAAATTCGTTATATATATATATATATATATATATATACATATATAATTATATGTAATTATTTAATTTATATTTAATATATCTTGATATATCTCGCATCGGAAAAATTATTTTTTTAATTGGTTTTAAGATCTATCAATTTCTTGTCCTTCTTCAATGAAACGATATTGTCGATAATATATTTATATAACTTTTTACAAAATTTAATAGATTTTCCATGTATTTTCGCACAAAAACCTTTGGATTTAGATGTTGCTTCTTCTTTCAAACTAAATATCATATCGGATGAAAAGAATTGGACTCGAGTATCGCGTTTCCTCCATCTTCGTTCAACTTTCACAATTTTGTCTACAGTTACGTGGAATGGAGTCTTCATCAACCGAGTGAAAATGAATGGTATTGGACGGGTAATGCGGATTTAGTAGAATTTTTAAACATTGCCCAAGAAGAAGATTTATTCGTTCTTTTGAGACCAGGCCCTTATATTTGCGCGGAACGAGATTTTGCAAGTATTTCATTAAAATTACTTATATCTTATTTAAATCAAAAATTTATATATGATATAATTTGAATATACAATATATACACATTATTGTATATTAATAATATTTATAATTAAATAATTAAATAATTAAATAAGAAATAATTTTTATCAACAATGTATCGATTTTTAAAAATGATTTCTGCTTTGTATTATTCTTATGGTATTTATGATATATATTCATTTAGGGTGGTCTTCCTTACTGGTTATTGACACGAGTACCAGATATAAATTTACGTACAAACGATCCACGTAAGAATTTTTAATTCCGATTTTTTTTATTCCAATTTCAATACATATTTACTCCTTTGAAAATTTATTTTTATCATCGTAATGTTTCTTTCATTTTCTAGGATACATGAAATATGTGGAAATATATTTAAACGAAGTATTTAAAAAAATCATTCCCTATCTCAGAGGAAATGGAGGACCTATAATAATGGTTCAGGTAGGTGGTCAATAATGGTCAATGAATAAATGGAATATTTTTCTTTTTTTCTTTTTTATTTTTTATTTCTAATATCGACAACGTTTTCATAATTATCTGTCTAAAAAAAAAAGAAAAATATAAATTTATTTTTCTTCTTTTTAAAATTTCTTCTTTTTAAAAATTTAATTCCATTTATATTTAACAACATTAGAAAATTAAAACACTTTGCGAAATAAAATATATTCATATGGAAAAAATATATTGTTACATATTTGAAATCGATCAACTGTGAATTCAACTGTGATGAGAATGAAATATTATAAATTGTTTGTTAATATTATGCTAATAATCAAATTTCGATAATGTCTCAGGTGGAAAATGAGTACGGAAGTTATTCGTGCGATAAAGAATATTTACATCGTTTGAGAGATATAATGAAACGGAAAATTGGTACAAAGGCGCTTTTATATACGACGGATGGATCAAATAAGAATATGCTGAATTGTGGTTCTATATCAGGTGTTTATACAACTATCGATTTTGGAACTAACGCGAACGTGACGAAAAATTTCGAAATAATGCGTCTGTATCAACCGCGAGTAAGTAATTGAACGATCGATAATTGAAATAATTTTTAATTTGAAGAATTAGAAATGTATCTGTATGTTTCTAACAAAACTTATGTTTAGAAACCGCAAATGTAATGTAAAATTGTTATATATATAGTATATCGAGATGAAAATATTCTTCTTTAAGTTTACATCATTTATTATTAAAAAATATCAAGTTTGTAATGGTTGCTGCATCACGTAAGATCGTAAAGATCGTAAGAAAATCTTATATATATATATATATATACTCGAAATATGGAATAAAATTGTTGTGTGTTGCATATTTTAAATAAAATAAAAAATAACAATATTGAAAAATATTGGCGAAAAGAACAAAAGAATAAAATATAATTGTAACGATTATTAAAATGATTTAAAATAATTAATTTTATTTTTTTTTTTTTTTTTAGGGCCCATTAGTAAATTCAGAATTTTATCCTGGATGGTTGACACATTGGCAAGAACCGTTTCAAAGAGTAAATGTTACAGTAGTTGCAAAAACTTTAAATCAAATGCTATCTTTGGGTGCTTCTGTTAATATTTATATGTTTTACGGTGGAACAAATTTTGGTTACACCGCTGGTTAGTAAATCTTTCCTAAGATTTTATTCTGAACTCTTATTTGCAAAATTTTGTTTAAAAATATAGCAACACGCAAAAAAATTTAATTTATTTTATTATCGAAATTTCATTATCAAAATATCTAATCAAGACATTGAAATAAAAAAATATTAATAAGAAGTTGGACAAACAATGATTAAAAATTTCTTTTATGAATTGTAAAAAATATTGTATTTTGTTGATAGTACTGTAACGTATGCTATATTTTATTTGTGCAATTTAAAATGTTCGCCTTTTTAAAAATCATTCGTATCTCAAAATCATATTCCGATCAGAAACATATAATGATCACATGAATAGAATGAATGTCTTGCAAAATGTGTATACGCGATGTAATACTATCCATGAAAAAATATTTAATTATCTAAAAACATATATTATAATATAAATTATAATATAATTATAATATAAACAAATATGTATAAATTTCAAATACAATATATAAATATAATTTCCGATTACTTTGTAATAATTTTTATAATCTTTGTAATAATGATTTTACAAATTAAGATTAAGATCAAGTAAATTAAATCTTAGATTTAAGATTACGTTGTACATTGCAACGATACAAATACTAGATTTTCCAAGACATTCTATGCTATAATCCATGTATATAACGTATTGATTTAACGTTAAGTATCAAACGTACGATTCCATAGGGGCTAATGGTGGCGAAAATGCATACAATCCACAACTAACTTCCTATGATTATGACGCTCCGTTAACCGAAGCTGGTGATCCAACATCAAAATATTTCGAAATTCGGAATATCGTATCTAAGGTACTTACGTTTTTTAGTCTCTAATCATATTTTGTTTTTAAAAAATTATTACATATAATATATATTTATCATACACACACACACACACACACACACATATATATTTATTATAGTATTTGCCACTGCCAAACGTATCACTTCCAACAGTATCTCCAAAAGGAGATTACGGTTCGATTCTATTGTCGCCAATCCTGAAATTATTCGAACCTCAAGGTCGACAATTATTCGGAACAATTATCGTCCAAGGATCGCATCCACTAACGTTCGAAGCGTTAGGATTATCTCATTGGTTGGTATTGTACGAGACTGACATAATACATAGCCCTAAGGATCCTGCGATTCTGCACGCAAAAGTTCGAGATAGAGCATTAGTCTATGTAGATGATCATTTGGTTGGAACCTTAAGTCGTACCAGTAACATCTATCATTTAAGTATAGAGGAGCCTTATGGACAAAAACTAAAATTATTGATCGAGAATCAAGGAAGATTAAATTATGGAAATGGACTTCGCGATTTTAAGGTCTCTATCTCTTTTTTTTAATAAGCAACAAACAGTAAAAGTAAATTATAAACTCGTATCGTTCAATATGTATCTAATAGAAATTAAAATAGAAAAAATAAAAGATAAAATAAGATATATTTCTTCATTTATTGGATATTTTTCATTTATTAGGGAGTCACAAATGTATCTCTAAACAATATTCCCCTTGGACCTTGGAGAATGACTGGATTTTTGCTGGACAACGTCAACCCGCTTATCAATGTCAATTCCAACATATCTGTAAGCGGAACTCTTCATGATGGTCCCGTCATACTTCGAGGAACTTTCTCGATCTCTGACCAACCGATGGACACGTATTTAAACACTGATGGTTGGGGCAAAGGAGTTGCTTTCGTGAATGGACACAATTTAGGTCGATACTGGCCATTGGTTGGCCCTCAAATAACTCTTTATATTCCTGCATCTTTTTTAAGAATAGGCGAAAATGAGATAGTGTTAGTCGAATTGGAATATGTACCAAGCAGCGAGAAAATTAAATTGCAAAAGGAACCGATACTTGATTTCGGTGCTAAATATTCAAATAATGGAGATAATTCGAACGATATACGTGTTTTGGTTTGATCGATTTTTAATCTCCTTTCTTTTTCTTTAAAATATTCAAATTATCTATATTATTGTTTAATGAGAAACTGTGCGAACATAAATAAATAAATAAAAAATACCATTATATTTTATATCATTTCTACAGTAGTATGATATTTCTTAATGAATATTATCATGCGCATATCTGTTATTTTGTCCGTATTCTCGTAATTATTATTATTTAAGGAGAATTAAAATTAACAATATAATAATTAACAATAATGACACAGTTTTAAACGCGACATTACAATTTTATTACATTCATTAATATAATTTATACAATATTAAATATTAATATTAATATAATATTATTAGTATATTATATTATTAATATTAATATAATATTATTAATTATTAATATTAATATAATTTATACAATAAATAAAATTTATTCGCATACATTTATCTTTCGCTTGAAATGATTCATTTTCAACATTTATCGCTTTAAAAAACAAATCAATTATTTCAGTTATTATATTTTTAATAGTGGAATGGTATCCATGAAGTCCAAGAATAAATTGCGGGAAATTGACTTTTAGTTACTTCTTCGAAAGTAAATGCAGTTATCGTTGCTCTATTATTTTCTATGTTTAAACAATTAACGATATTTCGATTTATCACATTGAAATCGTGAGATCGTTCGTGTGATCGTAAATTATTCATCATAGAAAATTGTTTTTTGCATATATTACAATGATACGATCGACTTCCTGAAAAGAGATCAATAATTCCTCTCTAAATTTTTCTTTTCTTTTCTATAAAATAATAATTTATTTTAGTTTTTAAAAAAATCAATAAAATAGTTGCTTATATTTCTTATATCCAATGCTCGAACGGATCGAGAAGAAATTGGGTTGGATCGGTTCGGCTCATATCCCGAAAATATCTGAAAATTTGGGAATTTCAAGGATTTTTAAAAATATCAAGTTCTTGTAAAATTTTAAGGAAGTAAATAATATTTTCGGAATATGTCAAATTAAAAGAAAATTTTCAAAAATTTCAAAAATGATATCTAAGTGAGAAATTCGAAATTCTCGGGAATTCTGACAATTTACCGACAATCACAAAATAGTTTCGAGAATTCGAAATCCAATCCCGAATCGAGTTTTCGATCCAACTTGACATTTTTGAATTCTCGCATGTTTCTAAAAGTAGATATATCTTTTTATTAACTTATTTATTTGTTTTATTGATTAATTATTAATCTTTTTTTAATTTGTAAAGTATTAAAAATCCGTGAAAAATTATAAACACTTGTTGATATTTAATTAATATTAATTACCTATGTGCACTTGCATATGGTGATGTAGAGCTCCAGGTTTGCAAAATCCCCGATTGCAAATCGAACATCGGATAGGCCAGTTACCACTATGAGAATACCCATGGGCCTTTAAATCACCAGGAGTTGGAAAAGAGCGACCGCATTCATTGCATTTATGAGGTTTTTCCTACATATATATATCATGATTGTCGATTAGTAAATTATTATCATTATTATATCAACTTTAAATATGCTATCTTAATATCCTTGCCTTACGATACATCATTTATAACAAAAAAAATGACATGATTTAATTGTTACATTTATGATGACATTTCGTGTAATTAAAGACATTTCATAATTAAAAGAAATATATATAATAAAATATGAGATTACATATATACTATATTCAGATATTATAAAAAATAATTATTAATTTTTAAATTATTAATCAAATTATGTGGATTGTTTTATCTTATAAAATACATATTTATAAAAATAATATCATCGCAATGTTATATTTCTTTTGTATATGTTATATTTTTTTTATTTGAAATTAATACAATAAATCAATTATTTACTATATATATTTCAACAAAGATATTGGATACCATTTGATAGGTAAAGTAAATTATCGATTCGATTTCTCCCGTAATCTATCACCGTTTATTTTATCGTTAATGTTATATTATATATTATATGTTATATTATATTATCTATACAAATTGATGCATATAATTTATTATTATAATTAAACGATTTAATATTATCTTTATGCTGTTTTATGCTGTTTATAAGATATTGAAAAATATTAACAACTTTAAAATAGCATTAATAAAAACCTTATAATGAGTCATTCGATGATAATATAAATTCGATGAAGCCGTGAAACGTTTCCCGCAAATGAGACATTCGTGTGGCCGTTCTCCAGTATGTATTCTGACATGTGTATTCAACGAGCTACTTGTACTGAACATTTTTCCACACACAGTGCAACCATGTGGTTTTTCACCTATTAATCATGTATAATTTTTCATTCCATTGTAATTCAATTTTATTTCTATAAAAACTTACTATTGTTTAAATATTTTTAAAAAAGTAACTATGCGAATCACAAATATAATTATATTCGAATTTGTAAATTATAATTGATCGATATCTGACGAATTACAAATTAATATTAATTAAATTAATAATAATGAAATTTAATTACACTAACCTGTATGAGTTCGTAGATGCCTTTTGAGCAAAGACGGTCTGTCAAAGTTTTTGCCACACGTTTGACAAGATAAACAAGATTTTTGAAACTTTGATGAATTTAAATTTATTTTCCTTTCGGAATTTCGACAGCTCAAATCTAAAGGCATCTCTTGCATTATGTTACACACTGTTTTATTTAATAATAAAATTACTAAACATAAATCATAATTTATTTAAAAATATATCTATATTTTAATAAAGAGCGAAACTCATATTAATATTCTAACAATTTAAACGATTCATTCAAAAAATTTAAGCAATTCATTGCAAAATCGAAATATATGTTACAATATTAATACAATGTTACAATTTGTTTATATATATATATATATATATATATATATATATATATATGTGTGTGTGTAAAAAAATTTAACATTTTAACAAATTGAAAAAAATTATTTATTCAATTATGTTTGATTCTTACCAGACATAACAAACTTTTTGCAAATTTTCTTTTAAATGAAATGATTTTATTTTTTAAATTTTTTTTAATTAGTTAAAAATTTCACAAAATTTAATACTAAAGATAAAATTTCCCGCACTTCACCAAAGAATCCAAACATGAAGAAGGATAAATTTGAATTAGATGCTTACTACCCCAAACAGATGCCACCGATCACAAGTGAGAAAGAGGGTTGTAACTACGAAGGCGCATGTCGAGAGGCGGTATTTTTTTTCTGAAGGGCGGAGTTTGATAAATGCATCTTCTTCTAATCTATCTCATCGTAATACATTATATATAAGTACTTATTTGCAAACATCTTTTACCATGAATCTACTACAGATATATTTAATATATTAATAACTATGCAATAACACAAAATTGTTTTGAAAAATTTTAAATGTACACAATTGATAATCTTTGTTCTTTTTTTTTCTTTTATAGATATATTCTATTACTCTTTATATTAATAATTATTTACGAATAATAGGTCAATCATAATTAATTGTTTATTACATAACAAATATTGAAATTGAAATATGTGGTGAATAATGATCCAAATATAAATACGGGATTAAATATTTTTAAAACACATATGGAATAAAAATACATAAAGTATTTTTTTTTGAAAAGTAAATATTTTATCGCGTGAAATTTTTATGCTCAAATCAAAAATGATTTGAAAATTTTTAAATATATAGAAAATTAACATATAATGGCATTACGAAATATAATATATTAAATAAAAATAATATATTGTCACTCCATATAATTTTTTCCATATTATTCTATAGTGTGAATCGGTACCAAGAATGTTAAAATGGCACCGCATTATCACATAAAAGTAAAAGTCATGCAAAAATTTATTTGTAATATACATTTTCTTTAAATAATTTAAAAAATATTCTTTCGTAATGTCCAATAATTTCAATAATCGCATTTGTTATTTATAGTTTTTTTCTGTTAGAATATTCCCTATAATAAAATATACTGTAAGTATTGAGAATATTTAAATAAATAAATGATTTGGAATAACGCTTAATTATCTTAATAGAACGATACATATTTCAACAGTAACGCTACGTCACGATATTGACGATTTTTCACGGTATTCTACAAAAGGTAAGATAATTTGTTGTACGGCATTGGGATGCCAGACATGTCCTGCAACGTCATTCCCTCGTTTGTCATCCGAGAGGATATTAACGCTATAGTATCATTGCAAATCGCTTCTTCATCGACCACAATACCAGTAATAATACTTCAATTTATACAATGTATATCGAAATATAATCGTGGAAAATCGATTTTTAAGATGTTTCATATTTATTTTAAACTTTTAAAGAAATTATGGGAAGCTTTTAAGATTATAAAATTGGGACAAATTTTTAAAAAATAAAAAGGAGCTATTCAATTTCAAGATATTTATTCTAACGAATAATACATTACAAATCATTATGTTTTTTTATATCATTATATTATTATAACAAAAATATTTTTTTTTCTATTTAATATAAATATATATATTATAATTGAATTAAGCCAAGATCATATGAATCAGGATTGAAACATCCATGCGTCTTTTTAACCCATAATATATTTTAAAAAGTAATTAAACCAACTTAAATATCATCTTATTTAAGATGAAAATAAATCGTTGTCACTTTTTCACTATTCATATAAATAAATTAGAATTCAAATAAATATTCATAAAAAAAATAAGCGGATAATATTTTAATATTATCTTAAAAATAATTATGCATTTCAATTTATATGCACTTAATTAATATTCTTTTATTTAATTGTTGAAAAAAGTAATCACAGATTCATACTGTATCTGATATTTCCATTTTATCATCATTCGATTTTTGTTCTTCGATTTTAGGATACTTCTCTGTAATATCAGATTTACTCTCATCTTCGCTCTCTATATTATTTTTTGAGGTTTTTAAATTATTCGTTTCTGCATTACACGCGGCAGAATGAGCAGCTTGTGCTTGCGGAGAAGTATCAGATTTTAAAATTTCACGCAATGCCATAGTTGCGTATGTAGAAGGTTTCAAAGACATTTGTATTATTATGGCTTTGAATCTTCCTTCTGAAAAATTAAAAAATAACAGAAACATTTATTACACTTTTGATTTGTATTAATCTTATGTATCTATTATATATTACAAAATTAAGTAAAAATATAAAGCGTTATACTTGGATCATCTTTTGGAGGTGATGATTTTCTCATTTCATCGATATCGCACATAATAAGATCGCTATGCTTCTCTGTATAATGCATAATTTTCCAAGATAAATTTGAAGGAATTTCTAATATTTTTCTATAAGCACCTCCTAAACTATATTTTCTGAAATTGAATAAATGTTATAAATTATACAAAATATAGTATTATTAAATAATAGTATTATTAATAAATGTTTAAAATTTATCCATAATGATTTATTACTTATTTCTCTGCCTCAAATCGGTTGTTAACCCGTCTTTTGCTAAAAATTCATCGAACCATGGCTTGGCATAAGGTGGATATATAACTCTCCAACCAACCTGTGGCATTAATACATCTGCCAAAGTATAATTTGATAAATCATTTTCTTCGAGTACTTTTACCGGTGGTAGATTACTTGAAATTTCACTTTGTTTTTCATTCTCATCAATTTTAAGACAACATTCTGCAGCATTCGTTACTTCTTTAATTGAAGTATTTGGTGATTTTTCTAAAGTTTTAGTAAATTCCTCGATTTTTACTTTCAAGTTTGATCCAGCATCAAGTTCATTTATTTTTTGATCAAGTTCTTCCGTATTAATCTCAGTTATGATTTCGTTTTCGTTATCGTAAACGAATTGTTCTTCATTATCATTTTCTTTTATATTATTTTCATATACTAAATCTCCCACTATAGGATTCTTCCCAAATTCTTTTATTCTTCTTGATACCATATGATTCCATACAAAACTTTGATAGGCATGAATATACATTAAACGAGCATTTCTTGGTATTGAATCCAAAGCACCTTGAGGATTACTATTACCAGATGTACAAAGACCTTTTAAAAGTGTAGCCTCTATTTTATCACATCTTTTAATCCTTTTGTATGCAGAACATGCATCTTTAGTTGTTTCATATATTTTTCTAGCTTCTACTAAATCTTCATCTTGTTCTCCTTCTCTGGGTTTCAAAATTAATTCAATAGCTTGATTCCATTTACCTATTTTTATTAAATTACAATAAAAAACAATTATTATTAAATTACATTACAAAAAGAAACATAAAAAAATTAAATTATTAATATATTTAAAATAAAAAATAAAATTACCTTGAAGTAAAGCTTTGCCTATTTCATAAGTTGGTATAGCAGCTACAGTACCAAATCTTTGTAAACCGTAATAATTTATAAATCCATGATCTCTCAAAGAAATCATTGTTTTTTCGATTTGATCATCTGTCCCATTAACATTTCTCAAAGCAATTCTAAAGCAATTACCATTCAACATACCTAGTTTTAATGATTCTGTTCCAAATTTAAAATTTCCTACATATGCTCCATGTACGTTCTTCGCTGCTTTTAATATGTCTGTAGGTGTAACCTTTCTCACGCTAACCCATTGAGTAGTCCATGCTCTACGATCCTTTGTTCCAGCATAAGTAAAATTATTTGGCTTCAAATATAAATTCATGGCTAATTGATTTAAAGCATCCATTGTATCCATATTTACTTTATGTAACAAAAAATAACAATATTCTCCTCTTTTCTTCCAATCTATCCTATCATCTTTTCGAAAATTATGACCTAAAAAGAATATATATGAAATTAATGTAATATATCTTTCATTAATTATTATATAATATTATTATAAATTAATAATTAATAAAAGATATATTACATATATTGATTTAAAGCTAAATATCTAACATACTAGCATTATTATTTTTCTTATTTGGCAAAATCATCATGATTTTTTTATTTTCTTTATCTATAGTTTGACTAATAACATTCTTTATTGTTTTAGCAATTCTATGAATCGCTCTTCGTTGATCTTTATCCATATTTGTCACATCGATTTCTATAGTCGATTCATCCGATTCTTTCAATCCCTGTAATTGATCCCAAATTGTATCTGATTGTATAATTTTTTTTAAATCTTCTAGATTCTCATTTTCTTCTCCATCTGATAAAATGTCTTGATTTGTTAATTTAACAATTTGTCCATCAAGAGCAATTTCGTTAACGTGAAAATCCGTATATCTTTCTTTGATAACACCAAAAAAACCTTCATTTCCTATAAACTCTATAATACCAACATCGCATTCTTTTAGCCGATTTCCCACTTCTAATTTCTTTCTTTTTCCATCTGATTTCAAGCTCGACCAATTGCGTTTAAATGATTTTTTACCAAAATTATCATTTCGAAATTCTTTAAAAAAAATTCCAAAGATAAAAATATCAATTAATTTCGTAAAAATTAATAATCAAAATTAACTTCTAATTCTGAAATCTTACCATTGTTATATGAATACCTATTTTTGCCATAATAATTAGGTGATCGATATTTTTTGAAATTTTTTTTATATTTATTTTCATATTTATTTTCTTGTACAAATTCTTGTTTAATATTATGATCTTTAAAATTATTCTCGGAATCAATATTTTTATTTACCGTTTCAGACATTATATCTAACAATTCTTTGCGAAATTTTTAGAAATTGTTTCTTTACTTCGCAAAAGAAAAATTAGTTTATTTTAAAAAATTCTTAAACTAATCAATAGAATCAGTAATTCAATATAAGTGAAATATTCAAGATATATATTTTAAAAATTATTATTTCCAGAATTATAACCTTGAATGAATAACACGTGCTTTAAAGCAGTGTTTCTCAACCAAAGATTTCAAATAATTTTATATAATTTATATATATAATTTATATATTCTAGAAAAGAAATTAAAAAAAAGAAATTATATAAAAATGCATATATTAGAAA